AGATACGGCCTTGATGGTATAGTAGGTGAGGACGTCTTCAGGACAGGAGGTAGAGGTCTTCCATAAAAACAATACGAAGTCAGACAAGAGCCAGAAGACGGCCGCTGGTTCACGCGAACAGAACTTCTAGAGACAGCTCTCGACATAGTGAGAGCTTACGAAAGAGACAAGAGAGGTAAAGGTCCTGCCTTAGACTGAAGTATTCTCAGAGGACCTCGAATTTAGGCCGGTGGGAGTGAAACGGTTTTAACCTTTTCGCAGTCACAGATGCGGGCCCTAGAGTTCAATCCCCAGACCTCACCTTACCGAGGTATAGTATCGAGTTGACCCCCGTGACCTGTGTTTCGGTCGTTGGTTGTTTTTCTGTTGTAGGTCTGTGTAGATGTAGGGGTTCGGTTTGTAGGTCTGTCAAGTAGGGGTCATAGCTGTGTAGAGGTCGAAACTGCTAGGCTAGAGGTCTTTAGGTGAGTCGCAGGTCCAACTGCGTTGGGTCGGCAGTGCAACCTCATGCAGTCAGGGTTACCAGTCCCAGTCGTACCGAGTCCGATCAAGCAAGTACCATGTGGGACTGTGCACACCCAGGGCCTAGTGGAAAGTGGCAGACCAGCGGCAAACAGAAGTATAAATCAAGAGCAGCGCCCATCAATTCATTCATTCGCTGAGTAAGCCATGCGGAAGCGTTGCTACAATGTCTTGTGCGAAGGTGGTCTGCAGGTTGCCCGAAGACGAAGTGGGCTGAAGAAGATAGAGCGAGCATAGGCAGTGATAGTTAGCGGCCATAGTCGCCGAGTTAGTGTTAGTAATTAGTGGATGTGTGTGGTGGTATTCAGGGTGATCCAAAGTTGAGGATGTGCGAACGATGGTATCGGACACAGTGACGAAAGTTGGTGTTCAGGCGCCGATGCGCCATAGTTGTTGAAGCGAGTTTGCATCTTAACTGTGTTCTCGTTTTCCATATTTCTGAGCTTTGAGTGGGCGCGATGCGCCAGTGTGAATCACCATCTGTTTGCGTGTATGCGAAGTGGAAAAGAAAGCGAGTTTGATTGAATTTTTTTTTTTTATAACAAATATAGTTGTTTTCTCCTTGTATGGGGGATAGTCTAGGCTGGGCCGGCGCCCTTGGGTGGACCCCGGCCGGTTGGGCCCGAGAGGGCCCGACTGAACCGAGCGACGCATAAAAGTAGCAAGTACTTTTTTTCTTTTTTTTTCGATGTTGGGGTTGTGCTGCGCCGCACTAGAGGACCCCAAATCTGCAAT